AAGTAGGGCAGTTTCCACTGTCAAATCAGGTTTATATAAAATAGCAATCACAGCAGTCTTCAAGGATGCTGGAGGTCCCTTCACAAATTTATTCCTCACTGTACTGGTGAAAGGAGCTCTGGTAGCATAGTGCCTAAGGCACTTGACTGCTAACCAGAAGGCTAGCAGTTCAAACCCACCAGCCACTCCTCAGAAGGAAGGCTGGGCAATCCTACTTCTGTAGTGATAGTGCCTCGGAAACCCAAGGAGGGGTCACTATGAGTAGGGCCGACTCGAGGGGTCACTATGAGTAGGGCCGACTCGATGGCAAATAATAACAATAACAACTGGTGAAAGGCATGTCTTCTGGACTCTCCATTTCTGGCTCTAGGTCTTTAATCTGATAAATCCATTCTAACAGGCCAATTCCCCTAAGCCTCTGGATACCTTCTTCTACATTATACCAAGGCAGGTCTGGTACTTCAACTTGACTTAAGGTAGGCTACCGCATAATCCATGCTTCAGTAAGCCAACCAAATAAACTATTAGATCCTTTCCTAACCTCTAGAGCTGAAACATTGAATGAAGAATCTGTACTTAGTGGGCCTAAATCAATAAACTCAGACTGATCCAATCTTACATTCCTTTCCCCATTATCCCACACCTTCAGAAGCCATTCCCATACATATTCTCCAGGTTTCTGTCTGTACATGTTAGCAAAATCCAGTAGGTCTTTTCTGGTGTAGCGTATCACCTCCTCAGTCACACTTTCTGTTTCACCTTTGGGGGCTCACTTGGACTTAACTTTAATTATAGGTCTAGCAGCAACAATGGGGTAGTTCCTGGGAACATTCAGCAATGTCTTTCATGGCCTCTGCCTCAGGCAATGACTCAGGAACAGTTGTGCTAATCCCATCAAACTGAGGTGGAGGGGATAATGGCTTTACAGTAATCCCTTCAGATGGGAGGGATTCAACAGGATTTACAGGCTCTGTATCCTGATCTTCCTGACTATCTTCTGCCCATATGTCAACAATTTTTTCCCAATCAATGCCCTGACTTTAACTTCAGACATCATTCTGGGTTGGCAATTTAATTGGCATTGTAATTTGGCCACCCTTACAATAAGACTCTGGGTTTTCTTTTCAGCAATATTAGCTCTGTTACTGGAAGATATAAGGCTTTCTTTCAGAGCACAACTGGAAGCACTGAGATCTTTTATGCAGCGCTTATGCCGAGACTCAGCAACTCTGAGCTCATCTTGCTCTTTTACCACTTTGTCTAGCATAAGTAGGACCAACCAGCCAGCTTCTCTATACTCCTCATGCTGACAAAATTGCAGAAAAGTATCAAATACCAATCACCCAGAGCGTCACTTCTCACAAGTACTTGATCTATTGGTGGTGCTATTTTGCATATTAATGTTGGCACCTCATGCCACTGATTAGCAGAGCCCTCTTTACTAACAGAGGCAGAGTCACTAGTGTCTTTACCATTAATCAAATTGAAAAACCCATTTAGGAAGCCTATCCTTTTGATTTTTATCTCTCTAGAACCACTCACAGTACCAAATGTGTCAGACTGGCTTCTCTAGAGAAACAAAACCAGTAAAGCTTATATATATGTATATATAGAGGGAAATTTATATTAGGAAAATGGCTCACACTTATAGAAGCTGGCAAGTCCAAAGTTCCTGGATCAAACGTCAAGCTGGAGGCTTTTCCTGACACATGCAGTTGCAGGGACTGAGGAGCTCAAGGCTGGCAGGCAGTACACCGGCTGTTGACTCCATCGAATGATGAATCCAAGATCTCCAGGCTGAATGGAGGATTGTTCACTCACGGACAGTTGTAGGCAGCACAACAGAATCCCAATCCACAGAAGAATGTCTCTTCTCCCAGGATGTCCACAGATATACTGGAAGCAGGCCATACCCCTAGGGAAAGTCCCTTTCAACAGATTGGCCGCTCAAAACATAATCACCTGATTTCATCATGGGAACAACCACACCACAACAGCTCAAACCACACAGAATTGTGGTCCAACCAAGTTGACACACAGCTCCAACTATCACAGTGATCAATTACAGAAACTGCTAAAAGTAAGTGTACTATCTGTTTTGAATTGCCACTTTGAAGTATATATATATATGTATAAACTGCCTAAAAATGTCATTGAATGGAAAAAAAAGTTTCATATTTGTTGAAGCTGGATGGTGGGCTGTGTAATTTGTAATACTAGTTTGAAATTTCCACAATCAAGTTATTTAAATTATATATATCAAGTTATTTAAATTACATATAGATACATATACATATATGTGTGTGTGTGT